TTTTGTAAACAACTCATCCGGAAGCGGCAAGGGGTATTGATGAGCGTTCAGTGCAACATTCAGACCCATTGAGAAATCGGTGCATATGCGAATCTGACCGTTCGGCTTTACGGCGACCACCATAGGTGCTGCCCAGGATGAGTAGTTCACCGGGTGGATAACTCTTGCTCTCTCGAAACGACCATCGGTGCCGCCGCGTAAGTTACAGGGCGTCAAGTACGAAACTGGAGCAGCATCAAGCTTACGAGATAGGGATGCTTGTACTTTGGTGCAATTACCAAGGCCTTCCCAAAGGACTGCTGCATACTATTATCGCAGGCGTTCGATGGCCACTGTTTTGGGGACTATTGGTTTGTGTATCTGCACAGTTGCACAAATACGATTTATGGGAATATCAAGGAGATTGAAACGCTCAATCCAGTCTAGATTCATGAGATTTAAATTCTGATGGCTCGTGACGAAAAGCGATCCCCATGTGGTAAAATCGACATAGCGACAATCACATTCAACTCGACCAAGCAATTTCAACTCCGTACCTGACGCGGCCTTCGCCTGCTGACTGGTGGGTTTGATATCGGGAGACCCGAAAATCCTACACAGCTCTTTTGAAATGACCGTAATGGCTAAGGCGGTATGAATCTGCAAGCGCGCCTGTCTTCCATTGATGCTGATGGTGATGTACTTTCTTCTATCTCGGACATCATCAGTAAAATTGGCGTGCATTCACTTTGTAAAATGACCGTAGGTCTTTCGATTATCGTGAACTGGCCGGAAAGGTGGTTTGGCTTTGGTTTTGCTTTGTTGTCACGTGTACGGCATTTTTGGCAGGTATGGTTGTTGAATGGACATCATCTAACAAAATGCTAGTCACCGCATTGCCAACAGACTGAAGGTGGCTTACCATGTGGGAGATTCTTGTGATCAGTGGTTGGAAATTTGTTCCTGAAAATCTGCTGGACTGCGAAATCATTGTATTGCGCCTTTGTTCTCGATCATAGCTGTATCGCGTTTCAAAGTAATGATCCTCTGGGCCTCCGCAATGGCAGCTTGCAGTGTGATGTCCGGGTCTCGCTCTAGAAGCCCCAATATTCTGCTCCATATCTCGGCATCAATAGATTATCGCAAGCTGTATATCAAAATCAAACAAACAAATTGACCTTCAGAAAGTTATTGCAGCTTGAAGTTTTGACACTCTCTTCACTGTCGCGGCAAGGGCAATGTGACTGTCAATGTGCCTTTTGCACAGCTTTAGACAATTGTAACGACTGTTGAAAAGCGATGCCGGATCGCCGAACATTTCGAGTCAGGAAACTGTTTCGTCAAAACTGTAACATTGAGCGGCCTTGGGCAAAATGCAATTGACATATCTGTCGTGCTCCATGGTCCCGAGTTTACGCAACAATAGTCGCACTTTCGATGCATCGACAAGATTCGCCAGTTCCGTCCTGAAAATATATTTATAACGTCCGAACCATGCATCGAAAATCAGCCCTGAAGCGGAATCAAAAACGAAAGCATTGACATTGTTGACGATCGCATTGACTGAAGGCTTCTCAGCATTGTGGAGGGATGTAGACTGGAGCGATAGTGTTCGAGTGAAAGCCTCGTTCATACGCAGTTGTGATGTGTCGAATTGTTACCGCCGTTGAAGCAAAATAGCTTGCAGCTCTTCTGCTGAGATAGTCATCTTGAATCGGACTACCTTCTGTCACCAGAAATATGTTGTGGTTTCCCGCTGTGTACGGATGGCCTGCCTGAAATGTGTTGTGCCGCGCCCAACCACTTCAATCCCGCGACGAAATGAGAACACCGAGAAAACAGTCGGACCGAGGGATTCTATTGTATGAGAGCATGGCGCAATAAATAGGTTGTAGGAAACCACTAACACAGCAAAATTGGAGATGCTAATTAATATGAATTAACACAAATCAAATGGTTCATGGTTCAAACTGCCGCTGATTCCACATAGATTTGCATTTTGATCTGTACTCGAGTTCGATCTCTAATTTTAGACCGATCCATTGTTGCGCCACTGCTCTCGACTTGGTCGTTGAGTGAAAGTTATTTTACTGTAACATTTTCAATCCTGGCTTTGCATAGTAATTGGCTGGCCTATATGTTTCTCCTATCAGAACGTTTTGGTCTACGTGTACTTCCCACAGTAGATAGCCTGTCAGTAGCATAGTTTCAGTTGTTATCCAGTGAGCCGCATCTGAGTGACCAACACGACATAGGCTAACGTAATGGTATCGGTGAACGGTTGATGTGAAGATGCTCGTCTATTCCTCGTGAGAACTAACTTCCGACAAAGTAAGCGTTACCGGGTGCTTTTGCGCCCACTAGCCGTCACATCACGATCAGTTGTTGCAAGAGAGGCTGGGTTTAAAATAGTCGCTCGATTTGGAGCACAAGTGTGGAATTCGACCACGCACCAATATGCGTTGCTCTGCAACTGCGTTTCGACGGACAGCCAGGGCTACGCTGTGAGCATATGGACAATTGTCATATGGCAAAGCAGAAGCTCTGAATGCGTGTCGAAGAATGTTGGCATTCGGATTTAACAAATGCTTACTAAACAAGGCTGAAAGTCACTGGCCGCATGTCCACCAGATCTTAGTAGCAGTAGGTGTGTCATCCATGTGACAAATCTGATTGCCAAAGTGGACAGTAAGTCTGTTTGCAGTCTCTGGAACTTCTGGATGCCCGTAGACACATTCCGGATAGCAGCCAACACAATGAGACTCGCAAAGATCTCGGCAAAAATGGGCACTAGTCTGAAGAGAGACCGCGAAGCTTGGTTGTCTCATCCTGCGTCAGATATAGAAACAGTCGCTGCTCTTGGTAATCAGCTTGAGTTGTTCCGCCTGATACGGGAAACGGGAAAGAGGCCTAATAACAGCGAAACCATATGCGACGACTGTAGCGTTAAGCTGATCATTTTGAAAATCAATTTAATCAACCGGAACCACCGGATACGCTGCCGGCCAGTGGTCGCCCTGCTCCATGGGCCGGTCCCTTGAATTCACTATCCCGCAAACAAGTCGAATGAGAGATCAGTCTATTGAAGTTGTTTAAGGATCAGCTCTTGTGGACGAGTAATCCGACTTACCAGTGAAAATGCGGGACAAAGAAATTGTCCCAACCGAGTGCAAATGATCCGTTCTTGGACCGATATTCAAAGAAGTTTCAAGTTCGAAATGCGGTAGCCATAGAGGGATCAGTCCGATCGCTATCGCCTCCAAGGTACTTACAACTGTCGTCATTAATAAACTGAACGCCCCCCGTGAAAGCCAAACTCGTGAAGTGCAAGCCAAATTTAGCACGTTTCAATTCATGTCAGTCATCAGAGTGCCACGGTTTACATTGGCGACCCACCAGTCGTGTTCCTGGACATCAAAATTGACTTTGATTAAGGTGAATCGATATGCCTAATGAAAGTGCTTAATTAGGAAAGGTGTAGCCAAGAAATAGGAACAATTATCAGAGCCTTACCTGTGTAGTTCAGGCAGAGTGATGGCGTATGTCAAGTCATTACTGAGCTTCAATATATCCAACGGTGAAACAGGGATGCTGACTGTCACCTTTCCACTTTCAGTACGTCGCTGACGAAGTCATGGAAACTGCGTTCATTGGATACGACGTGAACGTTGTGGAGCTGCTCGCAGGTAATAAACTTCTTGACTTGGGGTATGACGACAATGTTGCCTTCACCTGTGACAGCTCACCAAGGTACCACGCATCCCTGGATGTCAGCCGCTTCGGGCTATCTTTCGTACCTTGCAAATGCAGAATCTCCATCCAAGATTGGTAGAATTTACCTCCCGCACTGACCTTTGGCGGTGATAAGCTAAAGTCGTCCAAAATTTCAACTACATGGGCAACTGTAACAGCGTCCGTGGAACAGAAGATGAATTGACGAACCTTACAGCCAACGCTCTGGGTGCTTTCACTCAATTTCGCCACTTATGCCATCTACGCGACATCACACACTCGCCCTGAAAGTTGGAGTACACAGTGCAGCCGTGCGTTCAACCCTTTGGTACGGTTGCAAAACCTAGCCTATCAGAGCGACAAGAGGCTAGTTGTGTTCGACTACCGGCGCTTTAGCAGCTTGGCTCACATCTGATGGGAACACCATGTGAGAAATGAGCGTACTCGGCGCAGGAAACGGAAGTGAACCACCCAGCAGCATTATTTCACGATGATGCGGCTATGCGCTTCATGTGCCAGTATATTAACTGACGCGACGTGAGTTGATCGCACGACCGTGGTTTGAACGTAAGAAAAGAAGGAGAGACCGGCCGAGGACTCGATCAAGAGGAATGAAGACCCTCACTACGAAGTCGTGCTTGGTTATAACAAGATTAAATCACATGGAAAAGACGACAAAAAGAGAACGAATCGTCGAAGTACCAAGCCAAAATCACAAAAAGAAATTCCAATGATGTGAAAAGAAACCACAAATTGAAATGAAACTATCAAACAGGCGCCAAGGGAAAAGTGGGAAGCTAATGGAAGATTAACAGAAAAAGTTAAATGTCATGTGAATAGGAGCGGGTAAACAGAAATGAAATCATAGTGCGTCTTAAGGTGAGTCTAAAACGTTGAAAATCGATGTCAGATGACAGACCTTTGGCCACTGATTCCAAAGGAACCATCTGACGACCAGAATTTATGTATGAACATGGGAGCAAATTCACACGTATCAGGCAAAGCAAATGATGAGCAAGCTGAATGGGATGTGACAAGTCTGAATATTATACCGGTACTTTGTGCTGACGCTTCCCAGTCACGAGACCATCCGCAACCGCGTAGAGACTGGAGATACTATGAAGTGACACACACCGATGTGAGCCCAGACAGGTGGACCATAATGCAAACGCCTAAACCGATGGACCGTTGGCCGGTGAATCACGAATGGAGGAAAAAATGACCAACGAAAATACTGACATGAAAAAGTCGGCCGATTGTGGAGCCAAAGCTTAGGGATGGCAACTTACAGATACACTAGTCCATCATGGTTGGGGTACGGTCGAAGTTGTGATAAACTGGGGATTTGCGGTAGCAGATCGTCTGGAGTTGTGGCTAGACGTTGCTTTTGCACTCGAGCTGCCATTATAAGGTCTTTGACACGTTCTTCCCGTTCATGCAAGTAGTGTTCAGAAAAAGGTACATGACGCAAACAGTCGAATTTGCGAGGCATTTGTGGTGGTATGCGTGACACATGGCCATCTTCTAGGCGCTCACGCCAAGCTTTCATCACACGCTTGTGCTACACAGGTAATGAAAGGAAGAAAAACACGGAACCGATGGGAAAATGTTAAAGGAAATATGGTCCGTCCATCACAGACTCAATGTGATACGCAAAGCGAAAAACGGCAAGCGAGAGAAGGGAATGGTTCTCGTCAGCCCAAGTTATCAAAAGTAAACGGAAAGCTAAATTGTAACAGCGATACACAGAAAGAAACGAGGAAAGCCAAACCCAGCGTCCAGCGCAGACACAGCTCAGCATTGCTAATCAACTGTGAGTCAGGTAATAGAACTAAATGGACCATTGCATAGTGAAACGCAATAAAGTATACCTTACATGTGAACTTCCAAAGTAAAACACCAGGCACGGCTAGCATAATGACCAGAGCTCGCAATCAGCTGATCCTTAGGTTTTGATTAGAAGACCAATATTTTACGAGGTGAGTTATTGTCGCGCTGAATTTTTGTCCAGTAAAATGAAATTCGAAATGAAAGAGTAATCGCTATGTGTCAAATCGAATCATGTGGTTGCAGCATGTGGCATGAGGTTAAACAGCGTCCACCTGATGTGTTCCGGTTAGAGCAATTGACAGTGGGAGAAGTGAACACGCACGGCACAAAATGCCCGTGGAAGTACGAATGGTATGCAATGCAACGCTCACCTCTTCCTTAGATAGGATGAACTCTGGAGGCGGGTTGTACGAAGCGATGTGGCCTGGAAGAGGCTCTTGCGGGGCCTTTTGGTAGGGGCGTGGGCGAGGGGGGCGATAATTTTGGAGTAGTACGGGGAAGCGGGATCGCCAAGAGCCATCATCCTGAGATACGCTAGCATCAATATCTTGATCAGCCCAAACATCGGGGAACACATACGAAAGGGTTGAAGAAGAGGGTATATCTAGAGTGTTTTGTTCATCATCCGAATCGAGCCAATGTAGATTAGATGATGATTGAAGAGCCGCGTACCGGCGCAAAGCATCAAGATCAGTTGGGTCGGTGAAAGCCCAGCTAGGAAGACGGGGCTTCAGCCAACCGGATTTCAACGCATACACCATTCTTCCAATCTGACAATCAAAAGGGACGTGTAAGCAGTTAAAAGATCGTTCTCGTAGCCATTAGTATAAGGCCGAGGAGATATAATTGATCTGGTCTAGTTGCTCAGTTCAACAAGTATGGATTTATGAAATAGGCGAGTATTTAGCCGAATCGCTGCATCCCCAGAAACAGGTTCCGTGGGTTAACCATAATTCTTGTACCGAATAACAGTGGAACCAGTTATCATTACTTGCATTAACCACATCAACGAAAGACATAAGAGAAAGACAAGAAATGAAAATAAGTTACCAAACAGAAGTCGCTACAAATGAGGACAAATGGCCAGCTTGAGAGAAGCACGACAAATATCAGGAGACCAGGGGTAAGGGCGCCGCAGAGCTCATGACTTGGCCATGTCGAATCATCAACGCAGCCGATAGTATCGATAAGGGGGCCATCATAAATATGACGACATACATCACCACGAGTCATCCGTTCGACCAGGATCCTCATAACCCTGAGCCGTATCATCGATCGGCGAGAGGTGTGCTACGAATGTCAAACATCATATGCTGTGGTCAGTTTGTGCACAGAAAACCAGTCAACATCACCAAAGGCTTTTCGGATTAAACAGAGAATACAAGACGATAACAAAGGATACGACACAAAAAGCTAAGCAACAGACATTAGCATCACCCACTGAGCCTATGCGCAAACGCAAGAAGCCCAGTCGATGTGTGTAAAAACGCCACGACCATGAAACCACAATTAGATAAATGAATAAATCAAATAATTAGATCAGTCTAATGTCATGAAACTAGCTCATACCCGACTGGGATTTTGCAAGCCCACAAAGTTTTGAAGGTAAACTGCTTTTACAGACATATTGTAAGAATTGCAACGATTAGCTTTTGGCTCGAAAGCTCCTTCAGGCTGAATGCTCGATGACAGTCCAAACAGATGGCGTAAAGACGCAGATCTACAAAACTATCGTCGTAACAAAATTGGAAGACCGTTTTTCCATGGTTCATGTAACTTTGTGACCCATCGATCTACGCTCGGTGGAGCCTTACAAATGTTCGCAAAACCATGCTCGCCAGAAAGACAAAAATCAGTTACACGAAAGTGACTTTAGTGTCGCAATTCCAAGTAGTTGTAGAGAGATCGACAGTTCCCCTATCTATATAAAACATACATAAAAGACAATGGCGAAGGAATTATAGGCCTAATGGATCCAATGGATCTAATGAGACAACTATTAAAGTGAAAGAGAACAAGTGGTATTCCCTGGTTTATGAAGCATACAATTAAACCAATATATTTGCCGAACATCAGTTTCATATCAGAGGGAACGTAAAAAATGGCATCAGCAGTAAGCCGGTACGCAGTAACGACGCTTCGCTGCTGCGAAGCCACTAGCAGTCGCAGGTGGGCTAAAGATACTGCGAATGTCGCCCGGTACCTACGCAGACTTGAGCCCGCGCCTTCAGAGTACAAAGCAGGCTCGTAAAACTCAAGGCTACGGGCCGACTGCGAGTCAGATCCTGCAACGTCTCGAGCCATGTACAAGGCGGGTCACTTGAACTCCAGCCTGGAAAGCGAGAAGGAAAAAGACACCCAGTTCGGTAGTCAATGTCTTCGTTTCCCGCTATGAAGTTAATTTCTGCCCAATCAAGCCTTGTGCCACACAATATTCGGTAAAAAAACAAGAACCTCTTCGGTAAGCGGTGACCAGGCATAGTAGTACTTGTCCAAGCCAGCGCAACTTATTCTGTGCTACCTGTTGTTCTAAGGAACTAGTATAATCATCAAGGCTTAGCATTCGCCTACGCATATAATCGTTGCACACACGCTGGTGCTATCCGACATCAGTAATGCTTTGCAGGCAGTGATAAAGGCACCTTAGATTCTCAGACTGAAGAGGCTAAGTCTCACTCCGCTAGAGTAGAGCGGCCCTCACTATGGCCTTATAAACACGGCTTTGTCGGCTCAGGGAAACCTTCTGACGCCACAGAGCTCGCAGATTGAAAACGGTTCTAGCTGAGTTCCTTGGTTAGGAGCCATCGCTAAGGATGCAATTGCCGAAATAGGTGAATTCATCAACCGCCTCGAGTTTCTTATTATAAAGTGGCAATGGATCACCAAGTGACTGTCGGGCCTGCAACAACACTGCAATTTAAAGGTGCCAAGCGCATGCCAACTGATGGCACCACTCTATAGAGATTAATCGCGGTTGAATAGGCCAGGCGGACATCGTTAAAAGGGGGGAAATATCGTTCGCATAATCAAATCGACTAGTTACCCACCAAATAAGACATCAAGGCCCCCATCGTGAGATTCCGCAAGGGAACACCCCATGGCAAATGGGGAAATTGCAGATAAGATAGATAAATGCGTATATTTCCCGACGAACCGGGTATTTTCTCTTCTGTAGGAAGATCACTTGTACAGCGAGTCTAGGTAACATTTCATTAAAAAATCATTGGATTCAATACGGACCAGTAATGCAATGATTTATGGACTGCAATAAGTAGCATATTATTTGAGGTTAATCTGCTTACATATTTTAGGGTCGGATTCCATGAGTGCACTCACAATTGGCCGAAAGGTTTTACCACAGTTTGAATGGAAAAAGGTTTTTAGTTGATATCGAAATAAATAGGTTTTCGCTGGTCCTTAATTGCAACAGTAGCTTAATCCATAACTAGGCGTGCCACACCAAGAAGAAATTTAGGCGAATATTGTGCTTGGCCTTCTGTAAGGATAATAGGCAATTCTCATTACGAGTTGAGCCATTTCGTAGAACGACATTCGTATTGGTTGAGAAGACTCGTGGACACATTATACTGTAGAGAAGAGTAAGGTTGCTGTTCAGTCGCCGAAGGCAGAGTGAGTTAAGCTGAAGGTAAGAATATCGTTCTTCGTAAGTAATCGTTGATGAGCACCCCACGATCAATTTGGTAGACAAGTGCTGGACGTTTCCCAGAGCAATCCCATCTGTCTTGCGTTGGTGGCTAGTTACGATGGTACAGTGTGGGCAGCACTATGAGTTCCAATGATTCAAGCCGTGTTTGGGATAATGTAAATGACCTAGTGTTGTGGCTAAGTAGTTGTTTCGCTTTCCATACTTAATGTTGGATGAGTTCGCAGAAGTTTCTAGAGTATCGAATTCCCAAGTCTCGGACGGAGTACGCGGTTGGATCTCGGAAAGTCTTTACTTTTTGCTGACAACATAGAGTAATTACATTGCAAACCCACTGGAGTCATTGAGATGCTCAATGCAATCCAGCATCAGTTACATTCCCTTAATTTATGCCGTTCTGGGTAGAATATATCACTACTGGTTAGAAATGACACGTGGTATCCTACAGATATGAAGTCAGGCCGGGTTCGCATTACCAATCACAGATAGATATTGCACCATTGCCCTACTATCTGTGAGTAATTGATGCACTATGCGAATACATTAAACTTCATTGGGCCTACCAGCGCGAGCTGGTAGCAGCATCGAGCTTCTCTCTAAAAAGTTCGCTTTGGAAAAGCTGATTAACGTCCTGTACGAACTAAAAACGCGTTCATTGCTAGAGTACAGCTCAATGGTCTGCTGAAGTGGTTATTTACCAAGCGTCTTTTAGGACATTTCGCCGTAATAGCATATAGGGATCGATGCATCACCCCAAAACTTGATCCATTATGGCCGCTTAGAATGGGACTTAACATTTGATAATCTTACGAAAAAGCACATCTTTGGTATCCGGTAGCACAACCGAAAAAGCAACAGGGTATCACACAAGAAACAACAATAATACACAGATAGTGGAAAGATCAAGAACGAAACCATGTGGAAGGTTTTCCTTAACCGATAACCAAGAGTATAAAACAGACTTCCAACGAGATAGGTAAAATTCAGCTAGCGATTGAAGTTCGTTAAGTTACACAATCACATCTCCATGCAGAAAGGGTTGCTAGGCTTCGGTTGGTACACCCCGACTGCCTGGCTAGGGTTCCAAGAGCAATTAACACGTTTAGTTGGACGCGCCCGCTTATACGGCGCAGAGCCGGCCCTAATGACGTTTGCGTTGTGAGTTGCTTAGTCCATCCCTCTCTCCCCTTCGGATTCCCCCTCCAATTAAGATCACATAAGGAATAAAAAGATACCATCTGACACTATATTACTTGCTTTTTGAATTGCTTATAGTGCGAATTTTTAGTACCTTATCTTTTGTATTGCGGCATATTAGCTGTGTTTATCACCCCCAGCTAACGAGTATTGATGGCGATGCTGATATTGTGAGACTAAATTCGAATAACGAATAATCTTATGAAACAGGTGCAAGATGGAAATGGTTTGGATACCAGGTTACCGCTTTTATAGGCTGACTCAATGGTTTTTTTCTTTTGGAAACATCGCAAAACTCATTTGATGGTGGTTCGCTAATGCTTTACGCCAAGATCAGAACCAGTAGTATCATTTTAGTGTAATGACAAGTAGTTACGCAACTTGTTTGCTTCGTTTCACTAACACCCAGCCTGCTCTTTAAGTATGTTCTGTACGCGTATTCAACTGGGCCTCCGTATAAACACAGAATCGAGCAGTTTGGACGCAACGCATAAGAGACTGATCCCTCAGTAGTTAACGCAATCCGTTCGATCAGCTTGCTCGAAGAAGAACACAAGGTCCGCTAAGCTCCAATTATATGGTATGGCTTCTGTAGTCCAAATCTCTTGAAGGAGAGTAAATAAATTCAGAAAGGATAGACGGACTTCTATCCTTGAAAAAGCCAGATAAATTATTTCGGAACCTTGGGATTTGTGATGCCTCAGAAGACTAAGGGCACAGACAACCCCCGCTTCATATGGCGGAGAGTTGCTTACACACTACGGAACGCCGTGGATAAAAGAATGGCAACACGAGGGCAAAGATGGCCAGCTAAACTGCCGTTCGAAGTGCTCTGCCCAACGTACACCGCGCCGTCAAGAAACATACTATTCAGTTATCGATCTAACAATGGTAAATAAAACTTGTGAAAGTACGGTGTAAAGGACTCACTCGACGACGGTCCAGTTTCGATGGTACGAAGCTCCGTTTCTGAGGAGGGTGAGCCGTGACAGGCGTTTGCATTACGTCCCTGGTGAACCAATCGTTCCATGGCTAGAAGCATTAAACCGGAGAATAAACAAAATTACTTCATAAGGCGTCAACGATCCATCGGTCACAACACCTTTGAAAGAAGCCATTTTTGTCACTATATCCAAATCGCTATCGTCCAAAACAACGAGCTGACCAGTGTACGGGTCCCGAATAGCCCGCCAATCCAAAGCTGAATCGGACACATTCGTAGAAACGTTCTTCAAAAATTCGTCAATATCATCGTTCAAGTTGGTCTTGAAACCAGGTCGCATTATCGGTCTGCCTGAAGTATCATAACCGACGTGGGCAAGGGAGTCGTACCACTGGATCGGAATATTCCCGACGGTGTTCCGGACGTCCTATGGAAGATAGTACCAGCGACAGAAACACTTACCTCTTCGTCGGAGGAGTCAAAGTCATACTCATCAGCCATGAGGGATGTAAGACTCATCAAATGTGGGTGCAGCAGCAGAGATCTGAAAGATCAAGATAAATACAATGTTTCGTGATTGGAGCTGGGGGTGGAACAATTGCAATGTGCCTAAAAAGGAGAGAGTGCGCATGTTCATGTCCCTGTGAGACTGGAACGAAAGATTAATCCAGTGAATAACCGTTATTGAGTGCGGCATTTAGCCCGGAATCGACAATGTGTCACGAATGCGTGATAAGTAAAAAACGAGACAACTGAAGTACGTTCTGGACGGCTGATGAAAAAACTGATGACGTGCTTGCTATGTAATCCGGAGGTAAACGGTTATAATACACGCAGGTGCGGCGACATCGCGGTGCACCAGCTCAAGTGCGACCTGTAATCGTTGTTAATGTTGCACATATTTTCTCGTCACGATCATTAGCATCCAGTGGAGGCCCTTGAGTAATGTCACCAACAACGTCCAGTGACTTAACGACCACAAGGTCTAAGATAGACACTACTTAGGTGTCCACATACCTAGTGGGGAAGTCCACGAACAGGTGGAACGGTACTTGACGCCTAAGCTCAAGTAGATCTGCGCCGAAGGTACCTGACGCTGAGTTGCAAGAAAGATTTGCCTAGCAAAACTCCGGGAAGTTGAAGTCGCCCAGCACCAAAGACTTGTTTGCGGACTGGGTGATTAAATTCAAGCACCTCTTTGGAGGCTCTCACAAGGCTTCTATACGCAATTATAACTCCATGTTGAGCCGAGGAAGTGATAATTACTACCGACAAAGCTACAAGAGTTTTGTCTACTGGCTGTAATAAGCAAGTCTTTAAAAAGTCCAGTTTATAGCCCACATAAAGGGCGATGCCTCCTCTCTGTCGGCCAGCGGAGCGATCGCATCTAAATAGTGCGTAGCTAGGTAGATGTACTTCACCATCCGTGATGTCCTGAGACAGCCAAGCTTCAATGTATGCGAGGATGTATGGGTGATACCCTTCCACAAGCAGACCCAACTCGTACACCTTATTCCTTAGGCTGCACACATTGCTGAGCACTATCTGAAGGTATTCGTTATGTCCAGCCCTAAGCCGTGCGTTACCAGAAGGGGCACTGGTAGGGCGGAAAGGATTGCCGGCTGACTACACGAAAACCCACAAAACAGAGATCATGTCCACCGGCCGCTCGCCCCTGCTGTTGAGGTCCTTGATGGCCCCTTTATCTTCAGTCCATTTGTCAGCGGAAGGTACAGCTGGGCACTAATAGTAGTACCTCTAAGTTTAAAAGCAAATCGCATGAAAGCGTTGCGTTCCTCCCGGGTAGAGAGAATAACATGAAGTAGCCGCGATTGAGGGTTTGATGCGCTAACTGGGACGTTCCCTAGTCTAATAAGCATCCTGACAGTAACGTCGGGAAAACCAGGTGGAAGAAGCTTTGTTACGCACATTTTAAACCCCTGAAGGTCGTCCAACGTGCATTCAGCAGTGGATTCAGCTGCATTACGAAATATAACGCTACTATTCGTGAATCACCACGACAGGGTGTATTCACACCCGGGTCTTTGATTCAACACTTGCAGCAGATGTCTTCACAAGTGGTGATGGGTCTGTCCTTATCCCTTCAAAAGATACTTAAGCAACGGCAGCGCAAGTTTTTACTCCATTGTCGGCTTCTTCTTTTGTCGTGTCTTCTAGCCCAGCAGGAGGTTTAAGGGTTCAGTCTGTTTTGTCTTCTTGATAACAGAAACAGAGACCCTTGGCGCTTCGCCGTTTTGAGCAGAGTCAGGCAAACTGTCAGTACGCGCCTTATCGGTAGCAGGCGAGATGGCCAGCAGCTCCGACTGACAAGTAGTGCAAATGGGAGTTTGCAGCCTCGCAAACTGTCAGACGGATTGACGAGTGATGACACTTCGCCTATTTTCGATGCCAAGACAACTATGGGTCCTTGTTTAAGCGAGAGCTTACGGGATTTCCTGGCTCTCCTTCGCCTTACTCTAATGATCCCATGAACCAGCAAGTCGGCGTCGTTCATGGTAGGGTTAGATACGCCGTCCGAAGGATCTTCATTTATGTGGCCCGCAACCGGCGGGACGGGTGACACGATGGATGGTGCCACATGTTGATGTCCAGTACAAGTGATCACTTCTACACGGTTGGAAACCACATGCGTCGTCATGATCATATCAACCTTGCGGTGAAGATCTGAGAGCATCGAGAATGAATGCTTTACAATTCTCATCCGGATATCAAGAGATTCGTTCCTTTTATGAAAGTGTGGGAGATCTTGCCGGCATATGCAACAACTGATACAGCTGAAAAGCAAGCTGTCGCTGGTGGCCAACGCTGCATACTGCTCGGCATTCAAGTCCGTGCAAAAATGATGATACCACCGGTTGCAGACATCGTACTGCATGCCGACGGAATCAAGTTACTGGCATACTGCAGTTTGGATTGCCAAAATCGGCGCTAGCCTCAGAATCCAGGCCTCAAGGAATAACAACAACCTCGGTAAATTGCGGAACCAACATAGTGAAAAACAGTGAACAAAAAGCGAAATGTATGCAATAACAAACAATTACCCGCAGAGTAGATAAAAAATGTAACCAAGGTAAAAGGGTGTAACACGGATTAGCAAAACAGGAAACTACAAAAAAATGACAGCCAATGGCTGAGAGCGAGAAGCGTAAACGCTTCAGCAAATACCACTAGTCGATCCAAGTTGCCCTAGATCAAAGAAGAAATTAACAATAGTCAAATTTCGTATCAAGTATTTATTCAAACACTTTTTCATAGAATTTAAGCTAAAATACTTCATTAGTATGGCATGCCAAAAATGTGAGTTAACACGGCAAGTGACATTCACCGGTCAAGTTCAAGTACAGGTGGAACTAGAACAGTAGGAAAGTCTCGTGTATGTTCTTTCGCGAAAGTGTAGTTGATCAGGGTACATATCGAGGGCAATTTGGACAATCCGGGAAAGCCAAAGCAACAAGCACGAACCACATCTTGGTCAACCAATTAAAGCCCACGTGACCCGCACTAGAAGTCCCCGCTGCGCCGGCCACGTGAAGTAGGAGTAAAAATGCGGAGTAACAAAAGGCGAAAATAACCGGAAGTGGAAAAGTAAAACAGTTAGAATAGTAATTGGCAAAATATAAGAGGTAAAAAGGAAGAATTAGAACTGCAGTCCAAAAAGGTCGAGTGTATGTTCAAACGCCTTCACTGTTTGTGGTGACACCATGCCATCAGGTAATGCATTCCGTGAATCATCTAATCTACGTGCCAGTCGGACGTTGGTCAAAAACCTATCGGATCGTGATTTGTACAACTTCATCGAATGGTCACGGAGATGGTAGTGGAGTTGGCTCAAAAAGAACCCAGACAAATCAAAGCCAATCTTGTTTGTCAGAGCAGAGCACGATAAGTAAGAATCAACTGGCCATGATATCGATGATAGTGTGGCGAAAACATCTCGAGCTTAAGGAGTGTCTTGAGATATGACAGATGAGGTTGTCCATGAACCAGTTTTGTGCCAATCTTAAGGACCTGTTCCACTGACATCCTATCACGAACCAAGCACGGAGGACAAGCTTGGACGCAATATTCTAGGTGCGGCCTATCTAAGGTCGGAAACAGTCCAGCAAACATTTCCGGTGTAATGATTTCGAACGACCTGCGGATTATCCAGAGCGTCCTGAAACTTTTGCCGGCGGCCTTCTTCCAGTGCTCACTAGACTTTAAATCAGATGAAAGAATAAGGCACAGGTCAACCAGTTGGGACACGTGAGGTAGCTCATGCCCTCCAAGCAGTTAAAGTGTGGAAAGATCACTTGACCCTAGGCGCAGCACTGAACACAGCATTAGTAATGGGTATTTGCCACAGAGTAGCCCAGACCCAAAGTCTACCAAGGGCCTATTGCAAATCCTGGGGACTATCGGAGTTGGTCACTGAGCACCAGAATTTCAAGTGATCGGCAAACCTGAGGGATGGTACGCCTAAAACTTCGCACAACTCGTTTACATGTAGAGAGAACAACAGTGGACCGATCCCTGTGGAGCCCTACTGAGAACAGATTGTCGGATCGACCGAGTTCCAAATATATGGCGCGCGGACTTTCCGACAATGAAAGCCAAAGCCGCAAAGTCGCCTTGTGTCATTTTGGAAAATGACGACATTCAAACGGCCTGGGACAGATTTAAATCATACTTGAGTGAGCTCTCTCTCCCCAAATACAACTGTATAGCAGGAATAAAACTAGGGCAAATCCACCTTGGTTTGATTCTGATGTACGCAAACAACTTAACAGACGTGCCAGATGTTGGCGTACTTACTTATCCGATCCTTCATCATGCACTTTCAAGCGATATCGTGAGGCTCAAAATGCCTGCAGGCAACATCTACGAAGTGCTCGTCTACATCATGAAGTAGAACTTGCTCGTATAGCCCCATCAAACCCGAAACGTTTCTTCGAGTATGTCAAAAAGGGAAGTAACATGAACTCGTGCACCCCAGTGTTGTTTGACCCAGACGGCACTGCAGCTGTCACAGATCACGGAAAAGCTTGTTTTCTCGGAGAAAAATTATGCTGGCGTTTACGTTCCAGAGTCGCAGCTGCCGCATATCAGTCTGCAGGCAAAAGTTCCTGAGGGCTCCCACTTGGAGGTTTCCATAACGGAGACTCACGTGCTCCGGCTTCTGAGGGAATTAAATCCTAATAAAGCTGCCGGTGGGGATGCTATTCATCCCAAACTGTTGTACGAGTTGACTGATGAAGGTTGCCATCCGATTACACAACTTTTTGTGAAGTCTAGGCAGCTGCTCTCTACCAACTGACTGGAAGGAGGCTATTATTTGTCCCATTTTTAAGAAAGATGATAAGCATCTCCCTGATAACCATAGACCTGTCAGTTTGACGAGCGTGCTGGTCAAGTTGTTAGAAAAACTCATGAGGGACGTTTTCGAAGGACACTTGAGAGCGTTTGAGTTGCTTAATCCTTCTCAGCACAGCTTTCGTAAGGGCTATTCTTGCTTTACTAACTTGTTAACGGCTCGTGAACACTGGGACGAAGCCGTTGATTGCGGAAAGGCAGTGGACATGCTGTTCATTGACTTTTCAAAAGCTTTTG